AAAAAAAAAAAAAAAAAGTAGAGCTACATTTATCTTTTTTCCAAACTTTTGTACATGACTATATATAACTCAAGCACAAACAAATAAGTTCATCCCTGTGTTTTGCCTAGAAACCTGGAAAACACTGCATATAACATAATTTAGTTCCCTGTGTGACCATCTAGTTATCTTGTCAAACGCATTAATGTAGACAAGTAAAAAAATAAGTGAATGCTCAGATTCTTGGCGCGGGACGAATCTGTGTCCCGATAATTTTTATCCTACACTGAAGACGGTGCTGAACGTCGGGTCTAATTTTGCTCTGAGTGCTGTTCACAGAGATGTGTGCCAGCAGGGCCTGAATTTGGGTTTTTTTTAAACTGGGGGGGATTCCCCCCCTTACATGGGTCACAATTAAAGATTATTTGGGAGGGGGGAATAAATTTTGACCCACCGGGCTAGATTAATAATCTTCATTTATTTATGTCTACAGATTTTAATGCTTGATGGTTTTCAAAACAGCTTAGCAACAAAAATTGTCATGCTCTCCTCCAAACTGACATTAAGAACTGTGTTAAAACTGTATGTTAATGCGGTTGAAGCACGGGTCGTTACGTGAGGAGACTATTTTTACATACTGTCTTATGTTCATTCATGTTAACTTTGGATAAAACGGACATTTTAAGACGGGGAGATGATGATTTACTCGCGCTTCGCTGCTGCCGTGTTGAGTCGGCAGGCGCGCTCTCTCCGCTCAGAGCGCTATAAAGAGCAAAACAGTGTTTAATGTTTGAAATTCGGGATTAAAATACTATAATTTGGAAGCCGATACTATCTTGGCAAGCAGCTCATTATGACTCGGAGAGCACGCCGATGCGCTGTTTGTGGAATTCAATTCTGAAATAAAGACAGACTGTTTGAACCGGCGATTTATTTTTTCACGTCTGCTGATGTATTTCATAACTTGATCTGAGATGAAGCAAATACGTTTGTGTGGGAATTTCTCGCATTATAAAAGTTAAACTTGCGGGAATGGTTTAAATTATGCGCAATCCCGCGCCGAAATCCGAGCTCCGGACAGTTTCGCGCTGCACCGCTCATGTTCGCCTTTGTTTGCGCATTTCTGATTTTTTTTTTTTTTTTTTTTTAATTAAACTAGTACAAATGAAGAGAGTTTAAAAAGCTAAGTGTCTCACTCCATCATGAAACAGCTAGAACGTGTTGTATTAAAACATGTACACTATCTGGCCAAAAGTTTGCGGACACCTGACCATCACCTTCATATGTGCATCTTTGAATAAATTACACACACCCCGGACGTGCAGTCAGTTTCTCCCGGACACCCAGGCTACTTACTTTATTATTTTGACTATCTTATTATTATTTTTAATATTCGTCCCCTTTAATCCTTTTTTTAAGGAGTCATTTCCTCACACTTAACAAAGCTGCCACAAACGCTTTTCTAAACAGGATTAAAAAGCCGAGATGTTATTGTTCTGTTGTACTGCATGCTCCTGAGAGGATCTGATCCTCAGTCAGCCTTCAGGCATTTCTACACTCTTCCTGTTTTGCCCACAGCTCAGGATGAGTCACTGATGTTCACGGATTGTTTTTGGGCTCAGTTCTACCGAAAATTGAAATCTCTGTACAAAAGGGGCAAGTGCTCCGAGTTCGGAGCGTGTGAGTCAGACCACACCGGAGCAGAGCAGATGACACGTGTTGTGGGGGAGGTGTAGGCGTTTGGGGAAGGGTGGGTAATTGGAGAGCCCGCTTGGCCTGTGGGTGCGTATGACTGAGGATTAGTTACTGAAGCTCTGCATGATGGATGAGTAACCGAAGGCCTGATGCACCACACACTCCGCACATCTCCATTACCGTCCATTTCTTTATCCCTTCCTTTTTATTTAATGTCGCGAGAGAGCCACGTCGTCTCAGTTCCTCTGGAAGCCTGCGACCGGCCTCTGAAAACATTTACCCACTTTGTGAATGAGTTGCACAAGTCACATGTGTTGTCTTTATCAGTCTTTATCAGCTTTGCCACAATCCCTTCAGCGCCTTCAGTGAGTGGTAATCATAAACTGATTCTTCATGTTGCCCAGCCCAGCGGCACATCGCAAACAGTCCAGAGTTCGCCGAAACAACACTGCTTTGTGAAGCGTCGGCTCTTCCCGAGAGAACGCTGGCGGTTTGAGTGGGAACGGTGAGTCATCGTGACCAGCATATGCGGCTCGGCGTGTAGTGACACACCGTCTGGACCACAACCAGCCCTTCTGTCCAAATAACACACAACCTGGTGGGGTTAACTTTATCCGAGTGGTTTAAAGGAAAAAATCCCCCCTGGAAGACTTGAATGTTAAGATTTATTTTGTAATAAATAAATAACTATGCCACCTTGGCGTTTATAGTTCTAGCACCTTTCATTGACACGTTGGTCTGTCGTCACTTGGGTCTATTGGTTTCCTGCATCACCTACAGTGCCGTTCGACTACCTTTGAATAGTGGTGTCCTCAAGTCATCTCTACCTAAAGACAGCGATGCAGCGGCGCTTTAGTCCTTCAGTCTGTCCAGCTCTCTCACCCGTCATCTGTACACTTGGCTCAGACAGACCACCGTCTGCACCAGCACGCTCCTCATCTCATAGATCGCTACCTAGCCGAGCCGAGTCTCTGCCATGACTCTGTATAGCTGCGATACATCCTGGGACTTTGTGTCCAGCGTTTGCAAAGTCTTTACTACTGTACACCAGGAGAGCGCTGGTCATTCGCTCCCCCCATCTACAATCCCTGCTGGACCTGAGACTCGAACCCATGACCTTTGGGTTATAAGTCCGACTCTCTAACCATTATGTTAGAGAATGTTGCTGGAAGATGCTGAGTGTGAAAAGTTTTTTTTTTTTTTTTTTTTTTTTTTTTTTTTTTT